ACTGCTGAGGCAGAGGGCAGGTGAAACGGTTTAGTTTTTTTCTTAAATTGAACTCCGGTTGTCTAAGCAGGCATATCAGTACTGGTTGAAACTTGCCCTGCCTTCCCCTCGAGGTCTCGCACTCCGTCCTGCGTCACCGCTTTGCATCTTCACGGGTTCGTGCTATTTTTGCTCGCTTCCTCCTGAGACTCTTCAATCTGATAATCTCCTAATCTCCAGCCCCCAGCAATTCATCTGCAGTTGTCTTTGCTTTATACCTGGTTTATATCTTGGGAGTTGTCTTCAAAATAGCTTCTGACCTTGTTGGCTAATGCCTGTTAAGAAATAGGCCTGCATAGCTATAGGAGCCTTCCCATTCCCCAAATTCTTGTTATTGTTTGTGTTGGGGAGAGGTGTCCCTATGACAAATCACTGCTGTTGCATCAGTTTCTTGTACAGCATCCTCCTGATTTGCATCCATTTTCATGACCAGATTTTGAGTCTGTTCTTACCCCAGGTACACTCTGTTTTCCTCTGTGGGCTATTAAAGCCTTAAAATAGGAGCTGCCTGATCTGAGTTTAGATGGTTTGATGAGCACTGCAGAAATATCTGTAATGTCTGTGAGAGGGGACACATGCTTCCTCCTGGTTGCAGAGGAGAAGGGATCCTGAAAGGAGCACAAGGAGCGCTAACCCTATTGCCCATGAACACCTCTTGGTAAAACGTGCCTGGTGGAGTGGTTGCAAAGGAAATCTGAAAGTACAGGATCAACTTTTAGCTTTCTCTGATGAGGATCAAACACCTAATCTCGTCCATCGGATAACTGAAATAACAGGAAGAGGACAGGAGGAGAAAGTGCCTTCAATAGCTTGCTTTCTGTATGATCTAGCACTGTATTATCCCGCACCTTTTGTGTTCCTTTGTAGCACCAGCTTGCTAAAATACATGGCTGGAATATGCACCAGGGTTCAATTCACAGTGTACCGCTGTTCACGGAAGAATAGGCAGTGCCTGCTGTCTTGTCTAGGCTGTTTTGCAGGTTTCTGTGGCAATCTTGGTTGTTTTGGGGAGGGGAGGAAGGTTTCCTGGATGAGAATTGTCTCTTCTTTGATCAGACAGCGGAGGTACCACCTCAGAACTGTAAACACAGACTGGGCATCCACAGTTTCTGGTAACAAAGCTGGAGACCTGTTAATGAATGCCTTGCTACAGATTGCTGTTTGGGGTATTTTTCGGAATAATTTTTTCATACAAAGGAAATAGGAGAATTCATGAAGTGATACATCGTGTCTGGCTCAGGAAGTCCATCACCTCTGCTGCTTCCTGACACCACCACAATGTCGCTAGTTGTGCTTCCAAACTCTTCAAAAGAAAATATCTCTGGTAGTGGGGAGTTACATAGACTCTGGGAAGAGCTGCAGAGGCACCAGCAGGAATAGCGATGTATGAGTGAGAAGTGCTGCTAATACCAGGCTTGGGCAAGTTGCAAGAAATTGCTCTTTGTTTTGAGAACAAGTTCACCTCAGTTGGTGAATTTTCAGGAAGAGTTTGGGTATGGAGGTCTGGGATGTGGCAGTTCACTGGGCTTTAGGAAGGAGGAGGAAATGCTCCTCTCTTGTGACCTGTTTTTGCGCTACTTAGTGTGGGTACTTGAGGACAAAAGCCAAGCTGTTGGGTTTCCTAACAAAGATGGTCCATCTCTGGTTTTTCCTAACAGGAGATGTGTCCATCTCTTGTTCAGAGTGTGGTCTCTGTCAACCCTGAATCAGGTGAGCACTGAACGCTTGTTCAGGGCGATACCCTGATTATTTGGTTATTAATGGAGAAACAACACAACCTGCTTCAGGGGAAGTGGAAGAAATGAGAAAAGGTTCTGTCCTGAGAGACCAAACCTGCCTCTCTTGTAAATAATCCATTTCACTCGATGGAAGTTTGAGCTGCCTTATCTCTAACTAAAATAGACATGGATGCTGCCTCCGTTCTCCAAATTGTGGTGACGGTGAATTAGGATAATGAAAGCAGATGATACATTTAAGTGCGTCACAGAAGTGTGGGCAACTGGGCCCTACAGTGATTTAAAAATAAGTATGTATGGGATGAGATTAGCAAATCTGACAGTGCTCAGCTAAGCAGAAGTATCTGCCAATTGCCAGCAGCCCATTCCCAGTAAGACCTTCCAGTGTAGCTGCAGGCTTCTGTTACGTGTAGGGAAAAAACCAGCATGTGGCTACTTTGATTTTTGAACAGGAATTGTAGCAGGCAAATGTAATACAGTCTGAGAGGAATATATATATATATATATGTGCTTTTTTTTTTTTTTTTTTTTTTTTTGCACTGTCAGAGGAGGTAAAACCACTTGATTGCTATACTCTGGCAGCTAGTCTTCCCAGATGTCATCTAGTTAGGTACAGGTGTGTTGATTTTTATTTTTATTTTTTCTTAAAAAAAGGGTATAAAATATTTTCACTGCAAAAGGAGTTGGAAAATATAGTGCAGGCGTGCAAACATCAATGAACAGGAGCCTAGTGGGGATTCTGCCTGGGGTTTACTCCTCTTCGGTGGCTCTGCTTGGCTCTTCTCTCCTCCAGATGAGTCATGGACACTGTTACTGCAGCAACGCTGCTGCCAAGGAGGGGGATAAAGCTGTTGCCATGGTGCTGGATGGGCAGGAATTTTGCAGGAGGAAAAACACTTAATAATTAACTTGGAGACAAACGGCTTCAGACTTTGCCTGCGTGTTCTAGGGAAGGTGTCCCGGGCTCCCAGGCGACCACCAGCCCGGTCTGGTCTAGCCCCTTGCCTTTGAGGAGAGCAGCTGGTCCAAGCGTGGCCCTGGGCCGAGGGACACTGTGGGAAGCTGCTCCTGCTTCTGTCAGTTTGTGTTTTGCGTGTGGCTGCCCGGAGTCGGGAAGTTGTGGGGTGGGTTAAGAATTTGGGCTGGCTGATGTGTTAGAACCTAAAATTATCGTGTAACTGCAGGACATCTACCTGAGGATTGCTAAATGTGGGTGCTGAAGGCAAGGGGTCAATTGAAATTTCTGTCCCATCTCCTTGGCTACTCTTAGGAATAATATTTTGTGAGGTTCTTAAGCTATTTTGTCTAACACTAGGCCCGCATTTTCTTGTTGTAGTAAAAAGGTTGAGCTTTTATCTTGTTCTTCTTGATGGTGTAGGTGCTGGTAATAGTTTTCCTTTGTGCTGTGTTGATAGGAAAGCGAAACCTCCCTGCCAAATGCCAGAGATGCTTCAAACACGGTCCTCTCTCTGAAAGCCCATTCCTTTGAGCATTCACCATATGGTAGTGGTGATGATGCAGAGCAGTAAGAGTGTCCAGAGAGCACGTTTAACACGTCTCTTCCTTGTACCAGTGAGCGCTTGGACAGTCCTCCAAGTTAAGGAGATTTGCACAAGAATAAGAGGCTCCTAGGAAAGTACAGGTGCTAGATGTGCAGTTCATGCTCAGCAGCGCCTAGGAGCAATCTTTCCCAGGGCTGACTACAACTAGCTTTATCTCTCACTGCAGAGGGACCGGATTTCTGTAATTACAGATCCCAGCACTAAGGCTTTGCTGCCTGGTCTCACAGAATCACAGAATTATCTTGGTTGGAAAAGACCTTGAAGATCATCCAGTCCGGCCATCAACCCAACATTCGCAATTCCCAACTCCACCAGATCCCTCAGTGCTATGTTGACCCGACTCTTAAACCCCTGCAGGGATGGGGACTCCCCCCCATGCCCTGGGCAGCCCATTCCAACGCCCAACAGCCCCTTCTGCAAAGAAATACTTCCTAATATCTAGTCTAAACCTTCCCTGGCACAACTTGGGGCTGCTACCTCTTGTCCTATCACTTATTACTTGATTAAAGAGACGCACCCCCCCCTGTCTGCACCCTCCTGGCAGGGAGTTGCAGAGGGCCAGGAGGTCTCCCCTCAGCCTCCTCTTCTCCAGACTGAACCCCCCCAGTTCCCTCAGCTGCTCCTCGTACGACATGTACAACATGGTGGTTGCAATGTGTGGCATTTGGGATGGTCTCTTACTACACCACAGCAATCTTTTCTTAACTCCTTATCTATGGGATGTGTTAACCACTGCCCGTGAACCCAAACCCCCAACCGAAAGGCAGGTACCTGATCTGTTATACTGGCGCTGAGCTGCAGCTGTAACAGGCAGGTGTGAGCTCCGAGTACGCTGTGACTTTGTGTAGTCAGGGAATAAGCCTGAGGTGGATGCATATATTTGAATTTTAGAAATAGGAAAGCAGGCAGAAACAAGTGATTATCCCAGACTCACAGCAGGAATTAGTAGCTGAGAAAGGGCTTGGAATTAAAATGTTAAAGTATTACTTTCACCTCAGAACCTCCACAACAGGTCTCCTGCACCATGCAGATGTGTAATTTCTCAGAAGCTAACCTGGCTCGTATACATACAACATTTATTTAGATTGGTCAGGTTAAAGTAAGTTATGGGAGCTGCTTTCAGTCTGTGCTTATATGGTGTGGTGAAAATGAAGCACTGCTGCTCCTTCCCAAGAGAGGAGGCTGATGCCCGGGCCAGGGAGCTGTCTCGGGGCACATCACGGCTGAAACAAGGACTTTCTCCCAAAGATGCCGACCCATGGTGGAAGCAGGGAAGGGCTCTGTTCTCAGACTGTTTTCCTAATACAGGGAAAGGCTTCAACACCATTTTTGGTGCTGAGGGGAAAAAAAGTCCTTGCAAGGGACGAGCATGGGTGGGGAGAAGAGGCCATCCTTTGTCTGCAGAGGGCTGGAGGTGTAGGGGTGGTGGCACAGGGGAGGACACTCCTGTTCCAGTTAAGTGCAGCTGGTTTAGTGCTCACAAAGCTGCTTAGCGCTTGCGTTCTGCCAGAGGGCAGTTTTTAAAGCGGGCAAAGCCTCTTACACTGAAAAGGCTGGGATTTGATGGAGGTGCTGACTATTCTCAATACCCTGAGGGGAAATGGATGCAGGAGATGCTGGCACAGGGTTGGGAAAAGATGGTGACCTCAGAGTGCTGGGGCGGGGGTCAAAACCTTTTCCCTGTCCTGTCTGAGCAGGGTGGTGTCAGCATTCAGAACTGGGACTGTCTTCATAGACACCAGTTTTGGATTAAAACCAGGGGAGTAGTGGAGATGCACTTGGGCTGCTCTCGCTGCTTGTGGTGACCTCCAAAGAACAGCCAGAAACACCTGGTAATTCTGAGCAGACTTCATTTAAACTTGCTTTCCTCTGCAGATTATCTGTGCACTCCAGAGGAAAATGTTTACAAGATAGACTTCACCAGGTTCAAAATCCGGGACATGGAATCTGGCACGGTTTTGTTTGAAATCACCAAACCAGCAGCCTCAGGTGAGTGCACACACAAAATTCTGTTTTCATGAACAAACAAATGCTAGTGTCTGCTTCCTCTTGCTGTTTCCCACTCCTTTTACTCAACTGATTTCTCAAAAATAGGAGATGCTCTCAATTGCAAGAGGGCCAGAGTCCCAGCCTGCAGCACAAATATTATTCAGGTGTCCCTTTGTACCAACACAGTAAACAGAACTCGTTGCTGCTCTCTTCTTACGATTGCCATCTGCGATGAGAAAGGACAGATGGACGTTGTAAATGGAAGCAGAGGAGGAGGTCACCGTGTGTTTGTTTCTTGGCTGTTCATCAGCTAGAGTCCCCCTGTACGTAGCTGAACTGTTAGTCTCACATCTTTCACTCAGGTGTCAGGAAAATGGTATTTCCAGAAGGAAGAAATTTAGTCAGTTGTGCAAATTAGACAAACTGAAAACTCGATTTTTAAATTTTTTTTCTCCCTCCCTAATTTTTAGGTGGTACTTGTAACCGTCAAAGTGTTACGTGTTGCCAGTGGTAATAAAAACCCAGGGCAGCTAGTCTTTTCCTGATCAAGGACTGTTTTAAATCTTCCTCACCTCCCTGCAGCTGAGAGGAAGTTTTCTGTAGCTCATAGATAGCAAACCAGACACGCTGAGGGTGAAGTGGCTTGTTCAGAGTCACGCTGCGATCCTGAATCAGAGGTAGGAGCAATAAGTCACTTCAGAAGTAAGTAAGACATGTACCAAACCAAAGGACCATCTTGCAATTCCCCGTCTCCAAGTGACCGGTAATGGATGCCTTAGAGGGGAGAGGAGGAGGGTAAGCACATCATCAGGCTTTCTCAGAATAGTTTCCTGGCTTGTATGACTCAGCAACGTACAACTGCAAGTATTCTCACTGAGTTTCTGTTTCTCAGACGACTGTGACGGAGCTTTGCTTTGCGCTTTTCCAGAACGTGAACACAATGACAGGAAGGACATTGACCCCAATGCTGGACGGTTTGTACGCTATCAGTTTACCCCAGCTTTTCTTAGACTCCGGCAAGTGGGAGCCACGTAAGTAATTGCTCCTGTGCTACTTTTTCTAGTGCAGGAAACCACTGAAAATTTATGAAAAATGGCTCTTCCTTGTTGATCCTGTCAGGAAGTTGATTTAATAGGGATCTTTTGTTATTATGAGGATCTCCGACCATCTTTGCTGGATGCCTTGCTATCTCCATCCCTTTAGCTTGTTTATTTACCACAGGAATAAGCGTGGGGTTGAAGACGTTAATGCTAAAAGGGGTAAAATAAGGTGGACAGACCACACGGATATTACAGGTCTTTTCTGCGTGTTACAGTTTGTTTGTCAGAGGCTCTGCCAGTTTTGGAAGGTGTGTCTGCAGCCTTCCACATTGCATTCCCCCAGAACCATTAATCCATAGACGGATGTGAAAGGGTGATGTTTGTCACTTTAAGTACTAGAATGATCTTTGTGCCTGGTGGTACTGCTTGCATCTGTCAGTAAACCACACCAAAATGTGACACCTAAGGTACCTTTTTGTCAAGCTTTAGGCCAAAGTTACTGTTACTGCGACAGAGTGTATTTTTTCTTTAGTAAAAGTTAGTAGTAATTACTACTAACTATGCTATTACTACTAACTTACTATTAACTACAGATTTATCTGCAGTTAAATGGTGTGCACGGGGAGATGCAATTTTTGGCTTGTATTTCCTCTCTTGGCCCCCCAAAGAGCAGACTGGTGGGCTTCTTTGTCCTTACTGGAGATTTTAGAAGGAGATTGGGTGGATACTGGCATGGCAGGTTCTTTATTTTTGTTTTTCTTTACATTCACTTAAGTCTAAATTAGTAGATCTAATCAAGAGCTTTATGCCCATTGCTATTATATCATTAAGTCCATAATACTATAATTGAGCATCAGTTACAGTTTCCAGCACAAATATTTGTTTCGGGTATATAGAAAACAGCAGTTTGGATTAATGTTGGAGTGCAGTCTGATAGATCCCGTCAGCAGCAAATGTGTATTTCACAAGAACTGATGTACAGTAGCCTTGATAAAAAAAAAAATTAAAGAAAAAAAAAATAAAATTCAAGAGCTTGATTAAAGCTCAGCATTTGGATGCGATGCAAAAGAATTAAGATTTGTTTGTAGAGAATTTATTCAGAGCAAGGCTGCACATTGCCACTTCCTGCTGATCTTAAAGATGTGCACCATTTAGATTTGGGTTTGGAAGGAAAGTTAGTTATGCATCAATTATCACCTCTTTGGCCACTGTTTGATTAAAATGGTAAATACCCAACTTTTGGTTTGTGCCAAGGCAGTAGCAGTGACTTCCTGGCTTACTCAGAGTGTTCCATGTGTAACTAATACCTACATTTCTCCAAGAGGTCATGGTTCATAGTAAGAGAAACTTGAATATAGTGCTGGCTGAAACTCGTCCCCCTGTACTACTTACAAAGCAGGAACAGAAGAAAGACCATTTTCTGTAGATCTGGCTTTTCTGGCTTTTTTTTTTTTTTTAATACCCTCCAGAAGAATCAAAATAACTCATACAAAACCTTAAAGCAGTAAGGAGTTTCTAGCGAGTGATCTTGTGAAGTGCCTATCCAGTAGAGTTGGCGGGATCTTTCCTTCACTGAAGATGAGTTTGAGCTTGTAAAATTGTCTCATGTGTCTCCTTTTTTTTTTTTTTTTTTTTTTTTTTGTAATGTTATATTGTGTTCCCGTAGCATGCTTTAAGAAAAAGAGGGAACAATAATTTGGTTAGTTTATGGTTTTGGCTTTTTTTTAGAAGAGCTCTCTTCTACCTTTCAGAAATGGGTGATGGGTAAAAATCTTACTTAAAGGAGGAAAGCTCATTTCAATCTTATCCTTCTTTTTCAGGGTGGAGTTCACAGTAGGAGACAAACCCATTAATAACTTCCGCATGATTGAGAGGCACTATTTCCGGGACCAATTGCTCAAGAGTTTTGATTTTGAATTTGGGTTCTGTATCCCCAGCAGTAAAAATACTTGTGAGCACATCTATGAATTCCCACAGCTCTCTGAGGATCTCAGTAAGCTCTCTTTAATTACCGCCTTACCACATAGCGATGCTAATCTAAGGTGTTTTGAGGAAACCCTTTCTTAAAAGCTGTCTGTGGAAAGTGGGTAGGGTAGAGTGTTTCCGGGTAGTTTTGCATCAGTGTTAATACAGATTTTATTTTCTAGTAGCATGTATCTTATCACTCATGAGACTGACTTTTTTTTTTTTTTCTTTTTTTTTTTTTAAATTCATAAAAGGGAAGCTTCAGTGTCAGGGAGAAAAAAAGATAATGGTGCTATAAACCATCCAGAAAACTAGAATTAAAAAGATGTCCAGTAAATGGGCGACTTAAACGCTATGTTCTGTTTGATGTGCTGTATGGATAGCTTGAGAGGTTTTAGTTTTAGTATGAACGTAACTTTTATTTTCTCTCCTCTCTCCCGAGATGCAGTAGCATGAGTACTAAATCCGTGTGGTCTTATATTCTTGGCAACACCTAATCATGTGTGTTTGCACTAATATTGCAGTCTGTGGAAAATAGCGATGCACTGCTGCTTACTTGTTGTCACACCAGAACAAATTTGAGTTTGCTGTTTTATCACTTTTTTTAAAACAAACAAAAAAAAAACCCTCAACCCAAACCCCAGGCTGTAGTGTGATACTGTTCTGAGGTTAGGTAGAGCACTTACACTTGGTATGGTGCCTTAACATATTTCGATGACGTTTGAATTCTTTAAAAGACACTGTCAACGAATGGTTTGGGTGGGTTCCTGTTTTGGTTTTTTTCACTTGAGAGTTTGCTGCTATTTGAGCAATTCTGTTAAATATAACTGAAACCCAGTGCAGAGCCTTGCCTCGGTAGGGCTTCTGTGTAACACGATTATTTTTTTTTTTTTCCCTTTTTTCCCCCTGCAGTTCGAGAGATGATCCTTCATCCATACGAGACACAGTCGGACAGTTTCTACTTTGTGGACAACAAGCTCGTGATGCACAATAAGGCAGATTATTCATACAGTGGAGGACCTTAAGCACAGGATGGACAGCCAACCTGCGCTGGCCTTCCCTTTCCTATCGAAGTCGTCAGGGATACCAACACCTTCAGTTCTGTTGCCTACAACATCAACTGGACAAGGATCCACAAACCAAGGACTCTTTGCCACAGTAGGAGTTTCATGACTAAATTTGCCAGTCTCACCTTTTTCTGAGCTTTGAAGCAGACCCAATTCTTCAGACCTTTAAGCGGTTCTACAATGCTAAATGATCTTTGGATACCACTTCCCTGAGTTCTTTAAGTGTCTGCTTTGAAAATGGCCTTGTGGGACCTGGGAGATTTTGCCCTAATTCTGAGGATTTGTGTTCTTGCCCTCAAGTATCTTTTTAGGACATGTTTACTTTCTCAAAGAATGTAATCTGAGAAACCACGTGAGTGGATGGATGCAAATGCAGAGTTTTGGTTTTTTTTTTGTTTCTCGTTTGAATGCTTCAAAGGTATGGCCAATTTAACTTGCACATCCAGCTGAAAATGTCAAACATAACATCTTACAACGGCAAGTTTCATCTTTAGATTAGTTCTGTAAATAAGCATCTCATCCTTTCGTTTTGTTCCTTCTGTGTAATAATCTGTTTAATCTTGGGAACACCGAAACTCACAATGAAGACCAGTAGTTCGATGACAGAGCAGTTTTTAATTGGGTACTGTCCTTTTACATTTCAGACGAAGGCAAAATAGCATCGAGGGTCTGTGAACCTCCGTTAAGTGTTTTCCATTCATTTCAGTTTTTGCAAACTGATTGCAGAATAATCAGGAAAAATGGAAGGATTTTAGCATTATTTAACATATTTACATAGCTAACATTTCAGCCTATTCGTGCTGTATGTTTTCAATGTCTATTTTCTTTCATCTCTGCTCAATACTAAGATAAGGGCTTCAGCACTGCTTGTTAGAGCAATGCTTTCATTTCTCTAGGGCAGTTGGAGAGTGTGGGATTTCCAATTTTCCATTTGTCTCTGAATTTGAAGAATGTTACGACAGTGTTTCCCTTTGTTAAAAATGTTTCTCACTGGATATTAATGCAGGTGAGACAATAAGTCTAATAATGTAGGACTTTAAGGCACAGCAAAAATTTAGCAAGAGCACTGTCTTCACACTGTCAGAAGTTTAAGACCAATTTTGCCCAAGTTTCTCAGCGTGTGCTTCTTGGAAAGAGAGAAGTGCAGAGACATACCAACATCAAAAGGGTAAACTCGTGTACGCAAAACAAAACCTGAGGAGGCTGTGTGGGGTAGCCTGTTGTCATGAAACCCTTACTCTAAAGGTCAGTTCACTGATACTTCAAAAAAAAAAAAAAAAAAAAAAGACTGTAGATATTTCTATAAATACTTGATGTCTCCATGTCTAGTTCTGTGAGTTTAAGTGGAGCATTATATGTTAGCCTCAGATAGGTGTGATTGTAATAATTTTTATAAAATACCATTTCCAGTTGTGGTTGGCAGCTTTCTAGCCACAGCCGAAAGTCAGACAGAACTACAAATGGTTCCAAATGTAGCCATCTGCCTAAGAACAGGGAGGGTTTTGTGCTCTTATTGGGGTTGTGATCACTATTAACTGTGTTACCATTTGTGTTTGGCTTGGCTTGCTTTGCTTCTGAAAAAAGGATTCAGTTTTCTAAAGAAAATCCAGCGAGGTTAGGTCACAGCACAGATTTTTAAATTCAGTTTGATAGCTAAGAAAGTACATAAAGTTCGCTGATTTTACCCAACTAGTCTCTTGTAGTAATTACTATCACAACGAGACTTGTATTTATCACCGTTTTTTGTCTCTAGCGTTTTAAATCACACATTTAGCCTCTGGCTGACCTGTCTGTTTGAGAGTTACAGAGAATTTCCTCATTATTTGTACAACGCTTTGTGCTACTGATCATTAAGTTTTATAGCACAATAATTGCTAAAGGTGAAAATAGTTTCAAAATGTCTAGGACTTCCCCCCCCCCCCCCCC